AATAACTATTTGAATTTCATTTATTTGAAGCACTAATTAGTCATTAATTACTGTTGTCGTCTTAACCAATAGTAGTTACTTAATGTTGAATTAAAAATTATATTAATTATGAAAATTAGAATTTAGTCTTAGAATTTTTTTTAAAATGCTTCAGATATTTATTAATGTTGGTTTGATATTTTTAGAAATTACACCTCTAATTTCAAAGCTGGACATAGAACTATGTTTTGCCTACAACTTGTGTACACTGATTTCTTTTTATATATATATCTATAAATAAAAGCAAATAAAAATCTTTTTTGTTAGTTGGAAAATTGCACTTTTTTTTCTTGAGAAAAGTGTTTGTTTATATACCAGCTTAAGATCAGTATTATATTTTTCCTTTGTGTTTATGGCATAGCAAATAGCTGTGTGTGTGCATGATTAGCAAGGTTAATTTTTTAAAGCTTTGGTTTTAATTGGCTTTTGAGATAATTAAGTTTTGTTACTAGGAAAGATGCACATAAAAGAAACATTCTGTTAACAACACTTACTTTTCATGAAAAGAGAGAGTTACATTCCATTCATTATTATCTAATAATGGCTAAATAAAGTACAAGAAATAACAGATGTAGCCAGTTCAAATATTGTTAAATATAGCTCATCTTAAAATAACAATTATTTTGTTTAAGTGGTTTTAATTTTTTTTAAGGTGAGGTTAAAAGATATTTCTTTATCAATATTTGCTTTCTTCCTATTATACTGTGTAATCCTCTAGAATTGTTTATTCTGTCACTAACTTCTCAGCTTCATATAAAATTTCTCATTCATCATATAAAAACAAATATCATTTTTGTTCAGCTTACATAACTTTTAACTCTTAATTTCTATGTGTATGCACTTCTCTTTATTAATTCCTACTGATATTTTCTTTAAAAAACAAAAAACAAACATTTTTCATATTCACTATCCTTTATGCTTAATTTGTTTTTCCAGCAAAACTTTTTCAAAGTTAATATAAAGCAAAAATTATTTTCTCTCAAAGTAGAAAAAATTCCCATTATACCTGCAACTCACCTGTATTTTTATTGGCTGTGTGCCTTTTGTAATCTCTAATCTGCTACTTTAAACACTTTTTGCTATACTCCTTTCCATCTTATGGCCCATCTATTATGGCACTTTTTATCTTTTTATAGTTGTATATTGTGTTTATCTTCAAGTGGATGTATCTGTTTCAATACAGCATTATGTTGGTTATATTATTTGTCAATATAGTAATTAAGGATTTTGTAAAACTATTTTCAACTTCATGTGCACCCCAACCCCTACACAAAATATCAATGAATATCACTTGGACCACATCTTGAATGTTTTTCAAAACTTAAGTCATCATGCAAAAGCAAAGTTTATAATTATTCCAACCAATTGTAAAAAATAGATTTTGTTCTAAATTTAATCTTATACTAATCACTGATAAGTATTTAAGTTTTTGTTTCATATAAATTTATAGGCAAATTCTTTAATATGTCTTCTATCAAGTTTTATTCTTTAAAAAATAAAAGTCTTTCTGCATCTAAGTATTAACTTTTAAATTGTCTAACAAGCTTTTAACATGATTTCTATTTTGGTTTTCTATATGTTGTTGGAAAAGGAGAAGAAGAAAAATAATTCTCTGTGTCTTTTGTTTGAAAAGGTAATGTTGGGAATTATATCAATATACAACAGGTGTGTTGAGTTTGTTTCTGCTTTTATAAATTGAGTGCATTCACTTTTCTTCTTTTTGAATTAATTTGCCGATAACCATCTTTCCTCCTGTCTGATGACAGGTGCAAATCTACCCACTAAAATAAATCCACATTTTTTATCAGAAATATGTACTTATAATTGTATCTAATAATCTTTCTTAACTTAAAAATGGAAAAGTGAGATTTTTTTTTCTAATTAATATTACTGTTGCAAATTCTCTTTAGGCCTGCTGAAATTATGAACTTTATTTAGACATTAACATTTCTTATTTCATTTTGATAGTTTGACATTTCTTTTATATTGAACATGGGATATAAAGAATTTTGGCTTAGCATCCAGTTTAAAGTTGTAAACACATTTCTGTATACCAAATACTTATCTAGGCTTGTATACTGAGCATGCATTCCCCTTCCCCAAATTAAACTGAAATATAATCAAATATTTTTGACAAATAATACTTTATAAAATGAAAATAAGTAAAATAAGAAAAAAAAATATCATCTAAACTGAATAATAATTTATTATAGCTATATTATAACAATTTAATCCCTCATGAAAAAAATTCAGATATATTTATTCTGTATTAGTTTTCTAAATTTTGGCTATGCCTTCTTTGCAATTTTAAAAATATGTGCACAGAATTCAGTCTTTTTGGTATGTGAAAATTGTTTCAAATGCCAAACTGGATGATATCTGATTTTTTTCTGTTATTGGGCAAGAAAAAAATCACTTATTGTATTTTATTTCTTAGATTTCTTGATCATTAAAAAGCAGCAACACTTTTTACTGCTTGTTTAATTGTGACTAAGAAGCAAGTCTCTTTTATAAAAGGAAACAGAACTAACAGAAATAATGATTTTAGATATTATTTTTCTCCTTACCTTCTGGCAGTAAGACTTTAATGTTGTTACTGATAGAAAACATTCACTTTAAAATAACTTCTGTTATGCCCCATCTCTTAAAGATATCAGTCACTCCTGAGTTTTCTTTTATGCAGCATAATAAAACTTGAATACAAAGCAAATAAATCATAACTTCCAAAGAAATAGAACATCTATAGTTAGTATGTTATTATGTTATACTTATATTAATATAAGTAATATATCATTTGTGTTTTAGTTTATAATATCTATGCTTATTAAAAATATTTATATCAGCATGTTTTGGGAATCTCTATTTTTATTATACATAAAAAGTAAGAGAAATATAAATTTTTATTTCTAGATAAATCAAAAGATATTGCTAATAGAAACATCTTTGATTAACACAATTTCCTAGACTAATAATAGATTATTATTTTACTTGTTAACATCACCTCCTTAACATTCTATAACTTTCATCAGTCTCTTAGCTATTGATTTTATTCAATTTTAACATTACTTATTACAACAGTTTGTTTCCCAGAGATTTTCTTTGCTTGAATATTATTTTTTATATTCTCATATACATCTCTTATGATGATATACTGCAAGTTTTCTATTGGATTAATATGTGGAGAGATTGGAGGCCATTTCATAAATTTGGTGTCATTGAAACACTTTTTGGCAAGGTGGGCAATAGTTAGCTTTGTAGAATGTGAAGAAGCATTGTTTTGTATTAAATGAATATACTCTTTAAAGAGTGCCACACAAAATAAGCATCTTGTTCATGAACTTGCAATAATTCTCTGCATTTATTTTGAATCCTCATCAATTTTGAAGGAACCTATAATTTTACTGCCTGCAATACTAGACCAAAATATTTCTCCACTTTCTCACTATTATTTTCTAAATCATTTTGGTTGACTATTTCTATAAAAGACCTTATCTCTATATCTGTCATCAGCTCTCCATCCAATGTAGCTCTACATTCATCATCAAACATTACAGTTAAGAAATCAGTTTTCATGTACTTTATACAGCATTCACATTTCTCTTTTTGATGTTTACTTAAAGGTGATAGTTTGGTTGCTTTCAAGTTCTTAGCCAAAGTTCTTAATAGGTTACACTTTTTTTCCTTTTGTTAAAGTTTGCAACATCAGATTCTTTAAATGTTTTCTTGCTGATCACCTTAATTTGTTTCAAATCTCTTTGTGACATTCTGAAAGCCAAACTTTTTTCTTGTTCTTGCTAATATTTTCCATTTCTTTTTTTGTGTTCAACTTCTACACAACTTCTAAAATTGTGTTTCTATGCCCCAATAATTTTGTGACGTGTTTGTTTTGAGGTTGTATCTTATGACCCATGACAATCTTTATGTATCTAAAATTCCCAAATATCAATAAGTATACTATTATATATGTGGGTAACTGAATGACAAAATGGAAAAACCTTTTACATACATGTTTCATCTTTAGCAAGAACTTCTTCAGACTAATAATAGTTTTATTGGTGTTGTCCATCTTAGCTTTATATATATATATATAATATCTTGTTGCATAAGATAGCCAACCTCATTCAGCTTTCTATCACTTTTGTGATTTTTTTATTTATTTCTATTCTTCTTAATTATCCCACATTACAATAGCAGGAGTTTTGTCAGGATGCTGTATGATCCTGGAGATAAACTTACTGTAGAAGATTTTGAAATTAGTGCACCTTCAATACATTTTCACTTTAATAAATTACTCACACTTTGAATTAAACCTGCATTCAAACTATAATCAAGCCTATTACCTTGAACAGCTAATGCTTTGAGCATATTGTTTTGTGTTCATATTTAAATTCTTATATGTTTCACCTATGTTTATCTTGGGACTTTTTTTTTTTATAATCTGCATTATAAATTACTGCTTCAAGTTTAATCTTGTATTTTGTTTTGCATTAATTACCACCACATCACCCTAACCTACCTCAATTTTTATATATAAGACTGACTCCTTCACTGAGGACATTATTAGTCCGAAGAAGACCATGCTAGGGATGAAGCACATAATATTGGAGGAGTGTTTCCCATTTTGTCTTTCAATTATTCACCATTATTCTGATAGATTTCTATATCATATCTTATATATGATGATCAACAGTTGAGATATATAATCTCACAAGACCAAATAATTTATTTTATATATTTCAAATAAAAAAAATATAAGATTTAATTCACATGCTATATTTATCATAAATTATATTTACGATAAATATACCCTGAAAATTTTGTCAATGCCAGTTAATAGTAATTTTATTGTGAAAATATTGATGTACATAATACAATCCATGTGTATGTATATGTGTGGTGTGTGTGTTAATATATATATATATATTATATATATAAAATTTCCCTGTATTTTTTTTCCTTAGCTAAGAAAAGCAAGCCAGGTTCTGGAGAAGCTGGAATACCCCAACAGGTCCCTTCCCAAGGAATTCCTCCAGGACAATCTCAGCCTCAGCCGCAGCCCCAACAACAGCCACAGGCAATGCAGGATCCAATCAATGCTTTACAGAATCTTGCTATGCAAGGAACATCATCTATATGTCCCCAACAACAAGGTAAGTCCTGTTCATTATTTAACATCAGTGTGTTGATAAAAAATAAAAAAAATAAAGGCAGAAAGGGTATTTTTAAATGTTTTGTAGAATCAGGAGTCTCATAATCAAAATATAATTTAGTTATTCTCTCTTTTAAAAATTAATTCTTCTGAATTTCAAATTTTATTATAACACTAAACTTTTTCTTTTCTTTTAATTTTAACATCAAAATCTCTTTCAGTGTATATGTGCACATTTTTTTTTTTTTTTTTTAACCAGTATCACCCCATGCAAGTCATTAAAGCCACTAAGGCACAAGGGGGTTACAAGGTATGGAAGAATTAGGAACAGAAACCTTAATGAGCGGGAAGAGGAAGGAGTAATCAGGAGGACAGTAGATAGTGATTGACATTGCATTTAATTTTTTGTAGATCAAAGTTTGCCAGAAGGGAGTTCAACAAGCGAGAAGTGTGAGAGAAGAAACTATTAGCATAGAATTTACAGTTACATCTCAGCCAGTTCAACTGTAAATTGATGAGATCTTGACACCAGTCTAATACTGCACTTAAATTCAAAAAGTGTAGGTACCATAGCAAAGAGCTCATCCGAACAGTTACCATGAAAATATTTATAGAAAAGACACAGAGGCAAAAAATTGTGCTAAATTCAATTTCTATATTGCAAGTTCCTGATTGGTAGTAACACTGGAATTTCTAAAGAATTTAAGTGTAAAACAACTTTAATAAAAATTTTAAAATAAACAAATCCTTTCTTCATCTTGGCTTCATTTGATTTTTCCAAATTTCCTTTCAAAATTATCATGTTTGGTTGTGAATGTAAATAAAATTACTGGACTGATTTAAATTTCATTGTTTTGGCTGTTATCAAAATGAATAATCTTTGTCATTATTGTTGAGCACATTTCAAAGTCTACCTATTGTCACAGTCAAAAGTATTTCTTTTTAATATATCAATTTGGAGATTTGGAAATTGAGATCAAATTCTGCCCAAGGTGATGTCTATACACTTTGTGTTGATACCTTTGTGAAAAGTATAAACCTACTTCTGCTACCTTGTTGCATTACTAGATATCTTAACAAAAGTCTTGGAAATTGGTTGACCCTTGTAGTTGTTAAAGAACAATATAGTCAAGGTTTTTATCCTTGTTAGTTACACTGTGTATCCCACAATTATTTGTCGTGTTACTTGGAGAGGACACTGAACAGCACTAAGTAACACCCCCTTATCGTAGAGATGTCATGAAGAACCTATCAGAGCACAAACCTAACCTATATTGTATCTTTAATCTCTAGTGATATTTGTTAATTGTCTTTTGACATTTACTTTGAAATTTACCTAAAACAAGTTCTGTTAATTCAACTATAAAGAAATAATTAATAACTAATGACTTATTATACAAATATTATTCAGCCTTCAGTGGGAATATTTCCCTTTATTTTCAAACATGCTAAAAATGGAATAAATGCTTATGTAATTTTGTCTACAATTAAAAAATATAATTAAATTTAAAAAAAAAATATACAGTTCAGTTGGCATGTAAGTAAAAATGATGCCATAAATAAGTTCTGTGAGCATTGTTGAGGAGGGACAATTTCTAAAAAATTTTTTCCTTCAAAATTGCATCACATTTATTCAATTTTAATTACTTCAAAGATTATACTTCCTGATTCACTTAGTCGCAAATAAATTGTCTTAATGATTTTTTTTAATCAAATAGATAAAAAGAAAGTTGTTTTGTTTTTTTTTTTTTTTTTCTAGAGACATTTATGCAAATAGGGAGGGGGTTATGTTTCTCTGGTAGATATAGGGATGCAAATATTCCTATATAAATATTTAAAATTAAAGAAAAGTATCATTTCTAGTTTACATGCATAAACTTATTTTAAGAGTAGCTATAAGCACCCCCCTTTATTTAGCAGTTTTTCCTTTCTACTATTCATCAGACTTATCCCCTTGGTTGTTCAATTAGGTTACTTTTGAAAATTCAGAGATACTAAATTTTGAATTTCAGTATTTTCAACTTTTAGAGGAGCTACTTTTGAAAATTATCTGGGCCATCTTGAGTAACTCATAAGAAAAAAAAAATCAAGTAAAAATTTATTAGCACTAACCTTTTAAATGTATCCCAAAATGGCAACTTGATTTGTATTAATTATTTCAAAACCCAATCCCATCTGATAATTTTAAAACATATTAGATAAAACAAATTAAGATTGTCATAGATTAGTAGTTTATTTTGCACTTGGCGGCAGCAGAATTTAGGAGACTTTGTTTTGGCACCTTGGGGGAATTGGATATGAATTCAAGATGATTTTGTAGATGATAATTGAAAGCAATGATTCTTCTTGGAGCAACTGATGATTTGCTGATTTTGGTATCATATAAAAATATCCAAATAATAATCTCATTTGAAATAATTATTTTTTGTTTTACTTATTCAATATTTTTTCCTTAAAATTTGTCCTAAACAAGGACATTCTGAATATTTTTTAAAAAATTATCTTTTATTTCAGCATAATGCATTATTTCTTTCAGTTATTTCAAATATTTAAAGATTTTATTTTTTAAATTCTGAATTTGAGGTTTATTCAACTTCCACACACACACACACACACACAAAAATAAAGAAATAGATGTTTTTTTTTGTATCTGGTCATTGCTGATTCAGTCACTCTTCATATAACAATTAGTGAAGTTACTCAAGTGTTGTCTTTTTCTTTTGGTGGCTAACTTTGTCAAATTATCTTTTAACTCACCAAACCTGATTTGATATTTTAATAATCTTTTCTATTGATTTTAGTTACAGTTATGTTATAGTGTCCATTTTATTGAGTGAAACTGAAATATCAAGGCAACTTTTAATCCAAAATGTTCAATTTTAATAAAGTTATTTCTGAAAATATGAAATAAATAATTGTGGCACCATTTACCAAGGCGAAAAGAAAGGAAAGAGAAAAAGAAAGGAAAAGAGAGGCGAGACCCAAAGCGTGGATGATAAGTAGGACACCCACAGCTATGGATAAAGGATATTTTGATAAGTAACAAATGGCGAAGAGTGTCATTACAATGGCAGGGAAATTCTGAGTGGATAAAGGAATCGGGTGTGTTCTGGCGACGGGCTGGTGTTATCGGGGATACATAAACAAACCGTTAATGCGGGAAAGCATCTGATTAAGCAAACCACAGACCGACTAGCCAAAGAAAAATCCAATTGAAAATGTTATTTTGATAATTGACATAAAACAGGTGAACTACAGGGCTTTGGATAGATATGAAAAATTAATTGTGTCAAAGCCACACACAAGGTGGAGACTGACCGTTTTCTTTCGACAGAACATCTTTGGCCTGCGATAATAAAACTATGTTATCAGAAATGTGTACCAAAGAATGAATGGAACCATGGAAATGTTTTTTTTTCCAAGGCGACGAACGATTGTGTTGTGTCAAATAGACCACCCATTCTGATAATTAGCGATAAGATGACTGACGAAGTCCAGGTGAGAACAAGAGTTACGACCACCACCGAACACATTGTTCTAATTGCGGCCAGAGAAAATGAGAGCTGCGATTAAAAGAAGGAAAAGAAAAAGATATTTTTTTTTTATTAAACAAGATATTTTTTTTCCTGAAACAAAGCCCGCGGAATCGTACACGCCCGACTAGACATCATTGGTCGAGTGGCAATCACGTGACGCAAGGAGGAAGCTGTCACTGCCCATTTAGAGGATGGGTATGAGAGGTTGCTACAAAGAAGTGGGGAGGGCAGTCCACGCCTCTCTGAAGTATGGTGAGAAGGTGGGAGTAAGAGAGGGCCCCCAAAAATGGGAAGAAGTGGAAAATTCCTAACCAAAAATAAGAGAAGTGGATAGGTATTTAGAATTATCGAGGAACCCCCGGTGCCGACAAACCCACCCGGTTTTTGGTCGGCGTCCACATAAGCAAGGCAGCGAGCAGAAATCGGACAGTTCGAGTTTTAGTTCCAGCAGACAGTCCCAGCAGAGAGTTCCAGCCTCGCATTGGCTGACCAAGATTCGCGCAAATTCCGGACTCCTCTTCAATCCAAGAACAATTATTTTGAAGAGCGACTTAGATCCAGACCACCAAAATAAGTTTTTTCGACTTTCGCCCAAGACACACCTAAAAAAACCAATTTCTTAAAGAGCAAACAACTTGAAGTGTTAAAAAAACTCGCCTAACGGAAAACAATGTCACAATCCATAGAATGATAGATATATAGAAGAGATAGACACAGTCCTATGTATCCAACAACTAGACATAAAGTTTGTTATCCTTTTTTTTGATACCTTGAACTTTTGAGTTATCATTTTATTTTCTTTTATGCATATTTGTGCGGTGTCACCCCCGTTTGAACCTGATTTGCATTACGGCCCCAACTACTGATTGATCTCGTCTGCCTAAGATCAATTCACAACGTGGGTAGGCAGACTGGAGATCAATGCAGTTACTTTGGTAACCAGGCGTTGGAAGCGAGTTGGGAACGACGAGGCTGATATCGAATCTAACCAGATTCCCGTCCGAATCACCAAAAGGTTAGAACGTCACATTTTTGGGATGCCAGTTGGTGATGGTCGTTACAGGATGAGAGAACATGATACGCGACAAGCCAGTCACGTTTGGTCGTTACGAAGCAGCGAGGAGCGAGAGAAGGCTGTGTTTAGGGACGTCACATAATAATTTGAATTGACTCTGATGTTTTGAAGATTTAAATTTTCCACCTGCTGACAATAGCAGTAGATTTTGACTTTATCCTTATTAAACATAGTCAAGACTACAATAAAAACAACAACAACAACAAAAAACAGAACTAGAGAAAATTAGACATCATATATGAAATCAAAATGGGGATGTTTTGCCTCCATGAATTTGATACAAATTCATGTGACCAAATCTAATTGAGGAAATTATTGGTTTAGGCATTTCATTTGCATTATAGAGATTATAATTACTTTTTCATCTGATGTGAATCCATGAAATATTGT